TAAAGCTAACACTAATAAGGCTTATTACTAGAACTAGTAATAATAAGCTAATCTAATAAAACAAAGAACACTAGCTACCTCTTTATATTTTTATATTTAAAATAAAGCTAAGATATATTCTTTAACATTTTTTTACTAAAAAAGCAAAAAATACTAGATAAAGAGGCTACTAGACATTAAATAATCTATAATTATATTTATATATTAATTATTTAAATAAAGTATACCTAGAAAATACTAAAACTATATAATAAAAAAAAAATAAAAGAGCTATTACCTTTACTAAAGAACTAGAAAGAGCTTTTGAACTTTTCCTAGCTATATTAAGACCTTTTCCTATAAATAGTAATAACTAAGATTTAGAAGCTTAAGTAGATAAGTACCTAGAAAGTAATAAATTAAAGTAAAGTTACTTAAAAACTAATTCTCTTAAAGTAGGTCTTCTTATATAAGATAAACTAGGATAGTCTTTTTAACTATTATAAAACATAAATCTATATAAAGGGTAATATGTAAGAAAAGTATTCTTTTAAATAGATATATATAATAATACTTATAGTATAGACCTTTTATGTTATAATAGCTATTATAGCTAAATTTAACCTTAAAATATACTAATTTAATATAGTTAATGTATTTCTGAACGCTAAGAGAGGACTAAACAAACTACTTATTATATACTTCCTTTTAGATAGCTTTAAGATACTAGATAAAATTATTAAATTATAGTATATACTTTATAGTCTTAGAAATATATTTTTCCTTTAGTATAAAAAACTCTTAAGTATTTTATGTTATTTTAGGATAAAGGCTATAAGTAAAGACTTATATCTCTTTTAGACCTTAAATAAAAAAATACTTCTCTTTTTTTATATTAATAATATCCTTATACTTTATCACAAGTCTTACATAAGAGATATAAAGAAGATTATAAAAGGAATCTAAACAATATATAAAATAAAAGACTAAGGCTTAGCTAAATAGTATCTAAGTATATAGATCCTACATAACCAGCTAAAGCAGAAGATCTATTTAGCCTATAACTAATACATTAAGTATATTACCAAGAGATTTAACCTTATTAACTTAAGAACACTAACTACTTTATTACTAATAATTATACTTAAAAAGAATAACCTTTAAGTAACTTTAGTTAATGTAAAGCGTTTCTAGGAGAAAGTTGGATTAATCCTTTATACTATAATAATAATTTAACCTAACGTTATATTTATATATACTTTACTTTTATGTTTCCTAACAAACCCTTTACTTGTTTACTAATAAGTAGTAGACTAAGTTATTAGATATTTATATTATACTTAGTACCTAGTAATCTACTTTGGTACCTCAGGGGGTGCATAGGTACTACTAATTACAAGTAATACTTTGTTCATAGATAATAATAAAACATAAAGATTATTCTAAAGATATATTATTTTACTCTTTAGAGGTCTAATTTAGTAAAAAGCTACTTAACAAAATACTATCATAATATTAATAACTAAGGCTAAGCTCCTTAGCTTTAAGTATATTACAAAAAAAACTATTACTTTTAAGTATCTTTTTTAAAATATATAACTTAAGCTTAGTAATATATAGAAGATTAATTATAATAATAATTAAACTATTTACCTTATTATAAGTAAAAGTAACTAAATTTTAACCTACTTATAGTACATTAATATTTAGAATATATAGCTTTAACAAGAATATAGTAAACATTTATTTAATATTATATATATACTAATAAACTATATACTAATAAATAGTCTTACTAAGAACCTTATTAAAGTAAAATTTAAGTACTTTAAGGTACTCCTTAACTTATAAGATATATAAATAAAAATCATATATACTAAAGAAGAGGTATTAGTAGAAGAAGAATACTTATAGATTATTTAAAATTATTATTTATAGCTTATAAGCTTCTGCTCTTAGTAGAAGCCTAAGAAAGAAGTTTTTTTAACACTACTAACCCTTTAGAAACGCTATATACTAGTTTATAAGGAGCTAGTATATAAGCATAGTTAATATAGATATTAACTAACTAATAAGGCTATTAATTACAGCTTAAATAGTATCTACTTAACCTTTATTTATAATAGTAATAGCTATACTAGAGGTAAGACTACTAAATAAAGCTAGACTAATTAGTATATTTTTACTAGGTAGTATTAGTATTACCTTACTATACTTCTGTATACTATACTAAATATCCCCTTAAAAAAGAGTCTACTTAAATATAATATAGCTTTATAATATACTAATTACTTAACTAAAAACCTATAAAAATAATTAAAACTAAATAAATAAATATTATATATAAAAATATATACTTAAAGCTATATTACTATACTTTATAACTAAAAACTTCTAGGCTAAATAGTAAAGCTTAGAACCCTTAATAATTATAATATAAAGGGTTTTACTAAGTATATAATGCTAGTACTTAAGGGTTTAGCTACTGCTTACTAGTATACACTAACTTAAAGAGTTATTATATAGTATACTTTAAATACACTATAAGTACTTAAAGTCTCTTTAGAGGGTAAGCTTTAAGGTCTTAACGTATACCTTCTTCTTCTTCTCCTTATTCTCCTCTTTTTCCTTTATCTTTTTTTTTAGTATAAACCTAAAAGTAGTTATTTTTGTTTAATAGAATTAATAAAAAGTTTAAGTTAAATAAAAAAAGCATAATATATTAGCTAACTACTAATTATAAAAGGCCCTTAGGACTGTGTTAGAGTAAGCTTAGGCGCTAAGGGAGGGAGGTAACTCTAAATTGTCCTTATTCTTACTTGTAGTACCTATAAGGAGGTCAGCTAGAAAAAGAAGCTATAAGCCATCCTCTTTAGTGTTAACCTCTTTACTACTATGACCTCTAGCAGGAGGAGTCTACTCTTACACGTTAATACCACTTAAGATATAAAGGACCTAGACGAAAAATAAATGTACAAGAGGAGAAGAGACCACAGGCTGGTTACCAGGGGGATTAGGGGAGCTGCTACTCTCCCTATTACCTCTGCGCACTTTGTTACACTTCTTGAGTTAAGCTGCGTATACTACAGTAATATAAGCATACATAATAGTCTTCTTAGTAGATTTTAAAGGTATTTATTCTTAAACGTTAATATTATATAAAGAGCTTATAATATAAATAAATGTATATATATATAATAAAAATAATAGTATTTTAGATATATAGTTATTATTATTATAAAAAAAAAAAAAAAAAAAAAGAAAACTTTTTTACTAAGCTAAAAAAAAATAATATTATTAAAGAAAATAAATACTTAACTTAATAATTAATTAGCTAATTAAAGGCTATTAATCTAATTAAATTATTTAAAAGTAATAAAAAAAAAAAAAGTAGTTTTTTTATTATTAATAACTAAATATAATATTACATAACTATTTCTTTTATATTTATTACTTTAAGAATAAGTATTTATATCTTTATTTATTCTTTTAAAGTAATTCTTTTATATATAGCTATTATTAAATATATAATAGTTAGAATCTGTTAATCTACCTAGGGGGGTATATTATAATACCTTTACGCGCATCACACAGCCTTATGAAATTTACGCTAAGCCCAGATTAACTATTAGTCTAGTCCCTTCGTACAGATCCACTACACAGAATACATATTTATTTATTTTAGACAAAGCAATCCTGCACATAGAAATCTAAGCCGTTTTCCTTATGTCTTTTCCACCCTAAGTGGTGACTCTACGACAGGTTTACTGTCATTTATCGCCACGTCGGACGATACAGCAAATCTGTGAAGTTCCACTCCTCCATCGTAAGGCGCCTTGAGTTGCTGGCTCTCCGCCCTTTGAAAGCTCTGGTGGCTACATCACCAAGGCAGATTCTTTTCTTGGCATTTCTTAGTCCTAGTCATACCTTTGCGAAATGAGATTTTAGTGTGTATGTCAATGGTGTCAACTACCAAGACGCTATTCATAAGTGACACAATACCTAAATAATCCGTTGCAGGTGAAGAGGGAAGCAAGAAAAAAGTTACATGGTAGCTGAAACCAAGGTGTTGGCTAACCCTAGCAAGGTGACTTCACGCTGGCTAGTGTAGAAGTAAAATCCTGCCTAGCCATATCCCGGCCGCAGTCCAAAACGGTTGATCAATTCCGTAGGGAATTTCAATCAGACTGGCCACGTCACCACATTCATCATAGCCAAGCTTTGAATTCTCCATGGGTCCCCTTGTTTGTCATTGCACTAGTGTTCGGGACGAATCCCGAAGATGAATCCACCAGTATTATGAGAAAGGGATAGTGAAGTGCTTAGTTTTTCAACAATGCTATCAGGAATTGGGGTCGCGCCAGCACATCGAAGGACTTGATACGCCGATCAGGAGGCCTGGAAATGAGTGAGAGTCTTTTGACATTGCACACGGACGACATCACGGATTACCAATTTTTCACCCTATTGCGCCACCAGGCAGCATTTCTCACCCTGGCACGCAAATTGACTGTGGGTATCACTTATCTTACACCTCAGCAGCGGAACTTTTGAACTGTAGTGAATTAGGCCTAGTTTCAGTGGGTCAAATAGCGAAAGAGCCCAGACACTTAGCTGGCTTGCGCCATACGAGGCACAGAAAATGAATTTACCCATGCTCCTCAGCAAACTCAATCGATCTGAAAGGGGCTTGTCGTGAACTGTATGTATTGGCTGTCAATTTATTGGCCAGGCCAGGATCGTCTGTCCTGCTTGGGTATCGATAGGGGTTCGGACCCTTTGCATTTTCGTGACGTTAGCTCGTAGGTAGCGTGGTTCATTTCCAGTCGACCTTCCTTGCTAGGATGCCGGGCAACTTGTTGTCACTGCACAAATACTTTCTAGAGACATCTGAGACTTAATTTATATCAAGTATCTCGAGGAAACATCTCCGGATTTTTCTCGTGGTTCTTGCATAGAAGCGAGCCATTTCTTCCATCATACTTTCTCTTTTCGTCAAAGCTAGCAAAGGCCCCTTTGGAATGGCGCCAACGAAGCCCGTAGATGTTGATGAACATGTTGGAGAGAGGCCGTCCGAGGAGGAGACGCCACTGCTTGGCTACGACCCACAGAGCTCAGTGCTCCCAAGCAAGGGCAATCGAACCAAAATTATTGGCTTGGCAATGACCTACATCATTATCATCGAGATCGGATCATACCTCCAGATTCCACCGTCCTATCAGCTTTTGGAAAATATTATCTGTCGCAAGTACTTCCCCGATCACATTCTTTCGGATGTAGATACCGATGTTTGCAAGACTCCTGAGGTCCAGGGTGAACTGGCCATGATCAAAGGCTGGCAAGCCTCATTAGATTGCGTCGCCCGTGAGCCTTTTCTCCCCCACTAATCAATGCAATAAATTCATTCTGATGTATCTTATAGCACTTCTAACGTCAATTCCATATGGCATTATTGCCGACAAGTACGGTCGCCGGCTAGTCTTGTCCCTCGCTATGTTGGGCGTCACCCTTGAACTCTTGTGGCAGCTTCAACCCCGTGAGTCCTGAGCGGTAGTCCTCGGATATGCTTCTGCTAAACGATGTTAGTTCTGTTCCCCGAGATCCTCCCTCCGTGGACCATATGGATCGGATCTGTTTTTCACTTTATTGGCGGAGGCGTAGGTATGGTGAACGCCATGATCTGGACCATGATATCTGACGTAGTCCCCGTCTCCGAGCTGTAAGACTTCTGTGTGTTTACCCCGCGATGGAAGAATGCTCACAGATGATAGTACCGCAGTCTATTACAGAATTGGGGCAACTGCCGTGGCGGGAGAGCTTGTCGTCGTACCCCTCAGTGCCGCGCTCCTGAACAAGAACCCATGGCTTCCCCTTACCCTCGGCATGGCCTTCTTAATGATAGGAACATGCATCCCACCTTTCATTCCAGAAACGCTTAAGGTGCGCAGGGCCGCCGATCGCCAGGCAGAGCAATCGCTGCACGACACAGAAAATGGCGCAAAAGACACACGCACGCTGTGGGAGCAAATCGTTTTTCCCGTGAAGAACGACGTAGGCCATGTCTACAACTTTCTGCTCAAGTCAAGAAGTGTGGCTGTTCTTTTACTTAGTTTCAACTTGACAGTTGTTGTCAAGTATACCAAGATTGAGATCATGTCGCAATATGTCCACAATCTGTTCAACTGGTCGTGGGCAAAGGTAAGCAGCTCGGTTCCTAAGTCTTAAAGGTTACTGAAAATACAACTATGCTGACGGATTTTGGCAGTCCACTCTCCTTGGAACGGTCTCAACCGTCACTAACATGGTCATGTTGCTTGTGGTGCTTCCGGGAATCAGTCAGCTCATTACCAAACGGACAGGCGTGCATCCCCTGATCCGCGACCTTTGGCTCACCCGTGTAACGGGAATCCTATTGGCTACTGGCTGTTTCATGGTGGCCATCGCTTTTGCGCCTTGGTTCATCATCTGCGGTATGTCCCACTACCCCTTCCGTCACCTTTTTGCAATCTTCCAGTTGTCGAAGAGTACAGCGCCCTGGCTGACATGTGAGTATTTAGCTCTTGTCATCTTTTCGATGGGATCCTGCTACACAAACATCTGCCGAGCAATGCTCAATGCCATTGTTGAGCCACACTCAGTTGGCACGCTCAACACGACCATCACGTGGGTGGAGATGATTAGTATGCTCGTCTCCTCGCCCATCATATCGGGCTTGTTGAAGGCTGGGAACGCTGCAGGCGGGGCGTGGATCGGGTTGCCGTTCTTCGCGGCGACTATCATTGCCATCGGTGGTACTGTAGTTGTGTTCTTGTATCGCGTGCCTCAAGACAGCCTTCGATGAGTGACCCAACTCTGAGGCTGGTGGTGCCTACTCATTACATGGCATAGCCGCGTGGCTGGGGCCGTGCCATGCCGAGCTAACGCTTGCGACAAAGCGGCATTACCAACAGCTGCAGAGCAAGGAAGACGAGACCTTTTGCTACACTCCTACCTCCTACTGCGCCTACCAAGTCTGACGAAAGGAAGGATTGTTCCGTAACTAACCTCAACGGACATATTTGGCTGCCGAGAGCCGATACTGTAACCCTGGTTACCCCTGTTAGATTCGCGAATCAGTTGGATTGTTCGTCTACATGTGTGTGTCTTTCCCCCGGGCCACAGCCCGTGTAAGCTTGACAAGCTGGATACGGCGTCCCAGTGGCTCTTTATGGTAAGCTCCAGGGTTAGCTCCAAACTCCAGCCAAGCCCTGACTCGGGATTCCGATTAATTCCAACAAGGTACTACTAGACGAACTGAAAACCAACACAAGTTATCCATTAACATTTCCAGCTATGAAACAGTGAAACTGTACTTGTATGAGTAAGCGGCTTTTGAGGTCTGGATCTTAAGTGTTAAATTGTCATTGTTAAAGCACGTGCTGAGATTTGGATGAACCACTACGGGAAAGCGGGACGTTGACTAAGCAAATACGCCAGTCCAATCTCAGTGTATGTTCATTCCAGCTTCACCTCCCAGCTGTATGCAGAGTAACGAGTGCCATATTTCGTTTTCTGGAAATGACAAATCACGAAAGTCCACTTCTGAAACAATACTAGTTACCCACTTTAGATAAAGGGGCCGGTATTGGACTGATAACCCAACACATAAAACGAATTTCGCTCCCTTCTAACGCACCTCATTAACTAAGAAATAGCTGGCGCCACGGATGCCTAAGAAACAGGTAGGTCTTCTAGCGGGGCTTTCCTGCAGCGGGGCCAGACGGGACGGGCGAGGGGGAGCGAAGGGGTTAGGGCCGACCACGCCGCCGAGAACGACGACACGGGCAGACTTACAAAAAGACCTGAGCTTATGCATATCAACAGGAGTCTTACGAAGAGAATCCGACAAGGATCCCTTTGACGCGTGTCACGGACGTAGAAACCTTTTTATCAAGTGAGTGGGCGCACCTTTGTACCGGGGTAACCTTGGCGAACTTAGTCCTAACATTATGCTCGGTTGCATAGTGCAGGCATCGACGTAAGACATTTCCTGAGCACCCATGTTTACCCTTCCTAAGTCTGACGCAGCGATCGACACTTTGGAAAGTGCGTGGTAGTTGGGGAGGGTGTGAGCACGACCAGTACCCAAAAAAAGACCCCAAAAAAACAAGACCAAAAGGCCGGAATCACTGTATCTAATTTACACAAATCTACCGGGGAGCTCGGCTTTAGCCTTTTTTTTTTGGATCAAGCTTTTACTTGCTGTCTTTCTCGTTCGATGGAGACTTGTGATTGGATCAATGGACTTGACTGGTAGGTCAAAAAGCCTTCTTACCAGGGAGTCTGCTGCTTTGTTACTACCTCATCTCCTTGAACCGGACATGCTTGACGATGGTAAGAATGATTTCCGGGTAGGCTTCTATATAATTCAGAAGCACTAGCAATTAGGGCGTTTATGGATGCTTTGAACACGAGTGGAACCACGGAAGCCATTTTAGCGGTAGCTCCACATCTTAACTCCCTGGCCGCTAAGTATGTAAGCCTGGTTTGACAGAATGGAATGAAGCTGAAAAACGGGCATTCGTACCTCCGTTAGGGCCCACCTCTTAAGTCCCCGGCCGCCCCAAATCCTGGCCACTAGGTCCGCCGTCTGTAGGCCAAACGCGAGAAAGATAGCAGCCACATCCCAGATTGTCACCCTGCTGCAAAGACTTCCAATAACGAGTACAAGATCGCAGCATCCCTGTCAGGAACGGCCGTTACAAAATCAACTTGGCACATAACGAGAGATTATGAATGGTGGAGTTTCAGCGCAGTTCCACACGCGAAGTTGGAAATTTCAATTTCCAGCTCAACGGGCTTCAGACGCGGGCTGTGACTGAAAATTCACCGATGATCAATCAGCTTCTACGCACCGTACATGTATGTCTATGGCAATTTTGACATGCTTTTGCATTTTGGTCAATTGTCCGAGCCAAGTCATATATTCTTTTGGGACTTGAATCTATTCTTTATTTAGAACAACAGGCCATTACAATGCTGTGCTGCTAGGCCGAGTGGAATCGGAAACCGTGTTGTACTTTGCCGGATAGTGAATGGCGTCAACTTAAAGACGGTAGAGAAATGGAGTTACGTTGTAGGGCCGATGTAAGCGAACTTTTTAGTGGTTGGGTTGCCCCTCCTTCATGGCTTTGGCGTCATGACGGCTAGCCGATAAAAGTGGACCCAGCTGTAGTCCCTATTGCTGGGGCTGAGTTTCAGAGGATCCCAGTAATATGGGCACAAATTAGTCCCAGATGCATGAGCAGAATGTAACCTTGTGACTGCCTCTCTAAGTCGACATGTAGTGTAAGGGTGATCATCTTATACATTCATCCATTATCATAATGCAGCATCACTCAGGGTATCAATTTCATTGTGTATGGTGTTTAATTAGCATCAGCATCTACTAGCAGTAAACTGATAGCGATCTAACCAAGCACATTGCTACATTCCTGGGACGGACAGGTTGATTTTTCATTCAGAGATGAAGCTCCTTTATGTTCTTAGGCTCTCAACCCAAGATTTGTGTTCGTCGTCTAATGAAGCAAACGTTCTTTGAAAGAGGTTGCTTACCCACGCATCCAGCCACCACTGGGCGTGTAATCTCCTGAGAAGCTTACAAAAGTGTAAGAATATAACGAGAGCTCTCTGATCAGATTCAAGCAACAGTGGCAGGAAGTTCTTTGCAACCGTAGCGATCCAGCCAAACGCAGCGAATATATCTTGTTGATTCTCGTGCTCATCAAAAGCCCTATATAATCTGTCAAGTGCGTCGACAGCATTGTCGTAAATGGCTAGGCGTTCTCCATCCCGCTCTAAAGAGTTTATCCTAGCTTTAAGGTCGCGAAGATGTGTATTGTAGGACGGCATTCTTCGAACTTGAGAGTGTGCCGCCAGGCGGATAATGATTGGTGAAATTAATGAACCATCGATGGGTTCTTCAATCAGATGCTGACATCTGCAAAATAAGACGATCCAGTCCGGGCAGTGAGCCACGTCTTCCGGTGGTGCATCTTGTACAAGCTGGGATTTGGCTAGTACTGGCGGATTCAAGTTAGTTCCTATTTCTAATGACTAGTTTGGTATCCTTACCAACATAAATGGTCATCACTGAGAAGATGACCAGATTCGCCTTATCATTGTACTGAACCTGCTCCATTAAAGCCATAGCTGTACTGGAGGAAACTCTTTGGAGAGTCGTCGATTTTTTTATCAAACTGTCTCCTCTCTCCGGACTTAGGTGTGCCAGATGAAGGGCGGACAAGGAAAGAATGCTCCGCATAACGTAATCGCATTCCAGTCCCAGCTTGACAGCATTTACACGCCAAAAGTCACGCAGTATCGAATCGTCGGATAAGGTTTGGGCAGTGAAATTGCAATAGTGATGTAAGAGTTCGAGGTCGAGGAAGTTCAATTCGCCCGGACGCTGGGTGAGACTCGATATCGGACGTCGTGATGGGGGCGACAGAAAGTCATAGACCCCCCCGCGCTTGGTGCTTTTCTGGCATCCAGATTTTTGCCCGTCACACTGTAGATCTTGTTCAGTATTCGTATCTTCATCCCTGTGGTTGGGTATCAATAGTCATCCCATTGGCGAGCTCCGTGAAAGGTAGGAATGCGTAGTAGCACATGAGGTCTCCTAATCAAGCAATGCAAATGTCGATAAGATGAATCTACCTTGACCTTTCTTGCCTTGCACGTCGTGCAGCCACTTCGTGCTGTGGCAACGGAGTTCTTCGTTGAGAACGACTGCTGCATGTTAGGACTGACAAATAGCCACAGCTCGTTCAATGAAGATGGTAATAAAAAATTGGTTCGACTTTCTCAAGAATCAGAAATCTGGCGGGTTTTGTGCATGAAGCAAACAGAGTACCAGCACGTAGGCTACCTTCGGGTTCAGGCCAAGTTATTAAAGAACAATCAAAGACAGGACGCGAACCCCACACCGATCGCAAAATGTCACTCACCTAGGGCTTATTCATTCTTTGCGAGATCCAAAACTTAACTCGAAAAGAAGGCGGGGCTACATAGACCCGTCATTAGGTAGTATGCAAGCTCGGGTGACTTCGTCTTCCAGGCGCTGTCCAAAATCGGCTGGAGCCGAACGTTTTCTCCTCAGATTCCCAATCCTTGTGGCTGCGAATCTGAAATAAGCCGAAGCCTTCTCATTACTCATCGGATCCAGGTGCCATTGCCTGGCGCCTGGCAGCTATGCAGGGAGCGTCAGGCTTGCAGACCATCGATTCCCCTCTTGTTCCAAGGATCAGACAGGTCTTATCGTCACAATTTATTAGACTAGTGATGTGGGGAGTCCGATAAGCAGAAAACTCGACGGGCTGGGTGGACCGGAAAGCGATGGCGATCGGTATCCGACTAGGATTGAGTGTGAGCTTTGATTTAAGAGGACCCGGGTGAGACATGAGCGGTGCCGGTCCTTGCGTCGTTTGCCATAGAAGGGATCTGCCTTCACTCTGTGTTTTATGATTGCTCTTCCCATGCTACGTTTCTACAACCGCGGACTTTGATTGTATTGTAAGGTGCATCAATCGGGGAGATCACCGAATGTGGCATTTAGGGGGTAAAATCAGTAGGTGTTGTGTGCCGCAAATAAAGAAATTTGACAGATATCGCCTTAGACAAACATTTTCGGAGATCCCCAACAAAGGATTATGTTGCATTCGTCATAGTATTTGTGGTCAAATTAGATTCAAACGCATCAGGCTAACGCGTTCCACTTCACCGCTGACTTTTCCTCATTCTCGACAATTCTTTTACCCCCGATGAGATACAAACTGGTCGTTAATGACCTTGACGGTCGTTATAATGTGCCAAATCTTTCAGAATTCTGGGAGAAGCCAAAGGAAGCGACGCAGGGCGACCGACGTTGTGGGTAGTCTAGGCGTGTCTTCTTTATGTGCAAGAGCTACACCACAGTAAAGAAGTTTTTGTCAATGAACCGGACCCAGCGCGTTGTCCTGGTCGGGAAGCTAGTGCTGTGAGGGAGAGGAATGAATATCAAACGATGGTTCAACAACACGAAAATTAGCCGGGTGAAGATATTGAGGATGTGTCTCCCCAGTAAGCCTGTAGAGCAAGGCCTCGTTGCAAGATGAACACCCAAGGCCTCGAAACGACTGAGATGCGGCGAACTTTGTGGGCTCGGTTCCTGTTATGTCTCACCGTATTCGTATTGCGCCTCGTCATTGCACAGAAGGTCAGTAGTCCCACTCCTAACTTTGGGCCGCACATTTGGTCCCGATGGATGTCGACTTGGCCGAAGTCCGTGTCCCCACCCATGACCATGGCTAACAACCTTCTTCGTTCCCTATCGGGGATGGGGTGATAATGCCCTTGAAAAAACAACCATACAGTTTGCACTTATCAGTGCTTTGTCAAACCGCGTTTCTGGGCTCCTAATCTTTGTGTCCCGGAAGAAAATGGTTTCTGGCAGTGGTCCTGTCACGGCGTACCTTCGTGCTGTCTACTCTAGACCGCACCGCTGGTCTGCTATACCCACTAACATTTTGCATACACACTTGCTCATGACAAGCATATACAAACCTTGTCTAACTTCGCCAGAGCCTTTGCGTAGAGAGTTTTTATGTAGCGTGAGGTCAATGACAATGGTCAATAACGGGCAGACCACGAAGACGACTGTAATTATCATGAGAGTATTCGGTGTCTGATGTCTGTGGGAGTGTATTGATGTGGGTTCGGGCATCACAGGATTCTTTTGGGACTTTTTCACTCGTCGAGCCGCAGTGATGGATATGTAGAAGCTACACGAGACCTGCATATGCTAATCTCCATCGGGATACGCTAGCAGCCAATCACGGAGTCTGGAACTATGGCCATTTCGCCGATGCAATCGATATCAAGCATGCACCTACAGGATACTAGGTCTCTTCAAAATACAGCCCCTGCTCTCCCAGTTACGGAAACCTGGGAGGCAGAGACAGGCAGGGTCCTATACGATAGGCGCAGTGTTTAGTTCAGTTGTGGGTATTGTGGGTACTGTGCGTATTTCGTAAGCTTCCAAAGTCCCGAGCATTTGCAATCCATCAACGTTCCGCCGTTTCGCCATTTGCATCATCGCTAGAGTGCTGTCACAGTGAGAGACCAGAGCTCTTGTCCATATCGGTAATGGTATTCGATTTCAACAACCTCCTGCTTGGTACTACCGTGATACGTTGGAGATATGACTTTAGTTGAGCTCAACCAATATCTATTCTGAACTAATGAAGACACGTGATGGAGTCAATCACGTATGTCAATGAACTCAACTAAATGAAGGTACCGGGGCGTTGTCGGGCGTAACACCGAATATCTGTGGTCCCAACCCCAATAAGAGTCCGCATATCATTTGGGATAACTTGATTGGCTAGATCGAATCCGCAGAACATAGTCCTCACCAGGCAGCTTATACTAATTTCACTTTTGCGGACGTAAAGAAGGATGTTTGCTTGAAAGGTCTCTGCCTCTTCTCGATGTGGAGTTGCTGCTGTGAGCACCTTAGATGTTACCACCATGCTTTAGTCTACGGTCCGAAAAGATTACATGACACTTATGTATGCCAAGCCATAATCTGAGGCGCTAGGACATTTCTGGAGTGGTTGAATGCTTGCATGGCCTTGAATGTGTCACTTACCCTAATGTTTCTACGAGCGCTGAGAAGATGTTCCAGTGCTTATTCGTATTCGTAAAGTCGACCCCTTGTTCACATACGTGATTTCTGAAATCTCTAACTTTCTTTAGAGCCCTTTGTCGGCCCCGATCGTGTCCCATGATCTGTCATGTGACTGGCAAACACGGTGCATGCCTACTCAATTACTATAAGTTGAACTCACCGAGCATCATTCAACACTTGACTGAATTGCAATCAGTCATGCTGCTATCGAGCTCATCAAGCTACTGGAACTGACCAACCGCTGTCCCTTTGGAGATCTCCCGACTGGTAAACATGGCGGGTACACTAGAAAGGGAGGATCACCAACGCGATGCCGACTTCAACAAGATCTTACACGGAGACTCGGCAAAAGCCAAGGGAGGCATAGCAGCTATGTTCACCAAGGATCCGGAAGCAAAAAAGCTTGCTATAGAGCAATACTTCAAGCATTTCGATGACAAAACTGCCGACAAAGAGACTGCGGCAGATCGAGAGTCGAGGATGGCCGAGTACGCCAGTCTAACCAGACAGTATGTTGAATTGATTCATGGATTCATCCCCTCTCCTCCCGACAATGCTAATCTGTGTTAATAGTTATTACAACCTTGCTTCTGATCTCTACGAGTATGGATGGGGTCAATCTTTCCATTTCTGCCGCTTCGCTCCGGCAGAGTCTTTTTCCAAGGCAATTGCTCGTCATGAACATTACATCGCGCATCGCATGGGCATAAAGAAGGGCATTGCTGTTCTTGACGTCGGCTGTGGCGTTGGTGACCCTGCTCACGAGATCTCGAAATTTACCGGCGCACACATCACTGGCTTGAACAACAACGATTACCAGATTGATCGAGCCACACATTACGCCGTCAAGGAGAAGCTGTCAGATCAACTGAAGTTTGTGAAAGGAGACTTCATGCAGATGCCATTCCCCGACAACACTTTCGACGCCGTTTATGCTATAGAGGCCACCGTACACGCACCTAGACTCGAGGGTGTCTATGGTGAAATGTTGCGCGTGCTCAAGCCTGGTGGCATTTGTGGCGTCTACGAGTGGCTGATGACAGACGACTACGATAACGACGACGTTGAGCATCGCCGTATTCGACTGGACATTGAGCTAGGCAGCGGCATATCAAACATGGTGACAATTTCGGAAGGAATCATGGCTTTTAAGTCCGTGGGATTTGAACTGCTTCACCACGAGGATCTGGCGGCCCGTCCGGATGAGTTGCCTTGGTATTGGCCGATTGCGGGCGAGCTAAAGTATGCACAGTCAGTTTCTGACATTTTCGCTTGCATACGTATGACTCACTGGGGTCGATCGATAATGCACCATCTTACAGGGCTATTGGAGTTTGCCGGAGTCGCGCCTGCGGGCACGAAGAAGACGGCAGACGCATTGGCTACTGCTGCTGATGGGCTGGTTGCTGGGGGGAAGAGGAAACTGTTCACGCCTATGTACTTGATGGTTGGGAAAAAGCCGGCGCAGTAAAAGAGCTGAGGCAGCTTTTTATGCATTAATAGGGATTGCAAAGTTATTACGGATAGCTGTTCATTCATTCGAAGCTATTCGCAAGTATTATCTAAGGGTCGAGCCAAATCTTATGTTCACCAAAACCGGCATGATGAATCGCGAATGGGGTCTTAAAGCTACCGACTGACTTTGATTTCGTTTGGAACCTAGAGGAGCACGCCGTGTGGCAACAATCCTAGTCGAGGAGGGAACGCATAAGACCTGGACTTCCTAGCAGGGCGCTTCCAAAGCGAGTAGAGGCCGCTGATTAAGCGGTTAAGAGGGAGTGTAATGTGTATTGGCCTGGTCTTGCTGAGGTTTTCGGTCTCACTAGTACGGAACTCCACCTTAGATTACCACCACTGATCTATACGTCACTCAGGATGGCGCAGTCAAATCTATCTATATCTGCTTTTCGTATCGAACCAGTTTTCTCACCTTTGCGATATCTTGCTTGCGCGGCCTTTTAGAATGATAGGTTCACTAACCCAAAATAGAAGCTTGGTTTTAAGCATCGGCAAGAAATATGCCAGGATAGGATAGTTCGTGATAGTTTTATGGTCACTGATTTACACCCCTTAATGTAGTATTCGTGCCTGGCGTCTTTTAGACTATTCTGGTACGGAAACGTCTGACAGTAGCCAGCCGGAAATGACCCAAACATGAGATTCCTACCTTTAAAGTTGAGAATGCTGATTCTTATTGGCGAGTGAACGACGCGGTGATATCCACTCCGTTCGTGATCAGTTTACTAGCGCCAGATGACTTAAATTATGCTTCATTTCACAGGAATATGCTACTGTTTTTCACAAGGGGCTTCTGAGTACGGTGTAGCAATAATGATTATGTGAATTCTATAGAAGATTATTTAATAGAACACTGCCGTCGCCCATTTTGATATTCCCTTCATCTCTCTTGCGCTTAACATTCGTTGTCAACCGACACACAACACTCGTTCTCAAACCAGAAAGACACTCGTTTTCACTTCAAAGTCTTTTCATTTCATTGCACTGCCAGAAAAAAAACCAAGAAAAAAAAAACCAAGAAAACCCAAAAAAACCCCAAAACTCGAACCGAAAGAAAAAAGAAAACATCGTCAACCATGCTTTTCCAAAACGTTCTGCTTAGCACTCTTTTTTTTTACTTCCTGCATCTCTGCAGCCCCTCTGGAACCTCGAGATCAAATCAGTACTCTCAAACAAGAGGCTCTTGCTGCTCTCAAGAAAGCCAATTATAGTGGCCAGTGTAACCCCTCCAGTGCAGTGGTACGCAAAGACTGGGCGGCTTTTACCACTCTGGAAAAGAAGGATTACATCAACGCAGTCCTATGCCTCCAGAAGAAGCCAGCTCGCACTCCTACATCGCTTATTCCGGGAGTGCGCAACAGATATGATGACTTTGTGGGAACACACATCAATCAAACCAACTCTATTCACAATACTGCAAGTTCCTGCCGTCTTAATAGCCCATATAGGTCCAAGCTAACATTCTCAGGCCAATTTTCTTACTTGGCACCGGTACTTTCTTCACACTTATGAATCAATTCTTCGCAGTGAGTGTGGTTACCAAGGCCGTCAACCATACTGGAACTGGGCAACACACGCCGATGATCAAACCAAGTCCCCTGTCTTTGACGGTAGCGACACCTCCTTGTCTGGAGATGGTGCCTATGTCGCGCACAATGGGTCCCTCGTTGCTGGGTTCATCTGGCTACCGTCTGGTAAAGGCGGTGGCTGCGTCAAATCAGGGCCCTTCAAAGATATGGTGGTGAACCTTGGGCCCGTTTCGCCTGGAATGGACGGTATGGTCGTAGGACCCGATAACGGATTTGGACACAACCCGCGATGCCTTGTCCGCGACATTAACCCCACAGCCAGCGAGAGTCTGCACGAGTCTAGCATTGTACTTTTGTTGAATCAGCCAACAATCAAGGACTTTCAGGCTGAGCTACAAGGACGTATTGGAGAGGGGTATCTTGGCACACATGCTGGCGGACACTACGTCATGAATGGCGATTCCAGCGACTTCTATTCCTCTCCTAACGATCCAGGATTTTATATGCACCACGCCATGATCGATCAACTCTACTACATATGGCAGGCGTTGCATCCTGAGGAAGCCCGAACTATCTCGGGTACCATCACGCTCAATAACAGCCCGCCATCTCGAAATGGGACGCTTGATGACCTGATGAACGTAGGCTACGTCACCGAAGGTACTTTGAGCATCCGGGATGCCCTGAGCACGCTTGATGGTCCGTTTTGTTACATCTATCAGTAGAGACTGCCAGACATGACAAGGCGGTCGATGGTGCACAGAGCTAGATGTATGGATGGGTATAGTTTGGCGACCCCCATTCCGATCAGTGATGCAATCATTGTGCTGAGAGCCCTGCATAACGTGGCAGGCGGCCTGAGAATCTAGTCTTAGCTCAATTAATGCAATTGTGTACCATATTCTTTCTTTTTATGCTTACGCTTACACTTAGTAACTTCATCACTAATTTACAACACAATTATTGATAGGCTCCTTTTGCCAATGTGAGCGGTCGATATCCATATACATGAGTCTACTTAGGACTTTTTCACTTCAGAAATTCGTAGTCTCGACATTATTGCGGTCTTTGTGGTCGTGGATCATGACGCTACGGTAATTTTCCCCGGCATTTTTTTGTTCTTTGTAACGAGCCTGACGCTTCGCAGTGTGTTGACTAGAATATATGTAGCCTGTAGCCTATGGAGCTATTAACAAGCTTGGCTAGCACGCAGAAGTCCTTAAGAATTAAAACGGTCTTTTAAATGTCCTTTCTAGACTTTTCCTCTAGAGTCTCTTTAATAACAGAGAGGTACTTGCAGCGCGTAGCCTTGGGCTTACTCGGGGTGCTTCTGGGTATTACGTAAGTGCCGTTGAGGCTAATCTTTGGCGCTAGCTTATCATAACGTGTATGAACCTTGCTAGACTCTGAAAGGTTAAAGTCTTGGAGGGTGGTGTCAAGAAGCGTGTGTAGGCCGTCTAGACGGAGCTTTTTGATGTCCTCGTCGTTTTCTAGGTCGTTCTGCACTGCGGTGGCGATGAACAGTACGTATACCTCGAGAGCACAACGGTTCTGGGCCGCGATGAATGAGTGGTAAGCAACTAGCGAGGCTGCGATGTCCTCTCGAGAGGAGGCCATATTGGAGGGTGAGGGGAATGATTGAAGTTCGAGGCGTCGAGCAAAAGTAACCCTCCGATCAAGGAATATTCTAAACCCCTCAGCTCCAGATTTTAGGTGTGTCAACCGTAGCAAAACTCCACCGGGGTCAACTGTACACGGAGCAACAAGCACGTTAACAAATCGCATGATGTGCGGAGACTCATTGTGTTGAAGTGAATAATGTGGCTGCACGCCGGCGAAAGTGGGACATTCGGGGCGAATGCCAGCTACATATCCAAGACAAATTTCGCTAGCTAAATACACGAAATCTCACAGCGAGTATATCTGGCACCTGGCAGCAGGCAGGCCAGCAGAAAAGGGGGTTTCCCATAGACAGCTACAATAGGTACAACAAGGTATATCCTATCAATTGACATGATTCAACAGGTACTCCCCAGCTGAAGAGGAACTAGTGGAGTACGATCATCTTCGCCTGAGGGAAGATGTGTGGAAAAGTGATCGAAACACTGGACGAGCCTCTGGTTTCGGTGGGTGACGCCGCTTGGCCGACCAGTGTGAACCCACCTTTTTGACTGCCTGAAAGATAGGGTGGCTGCGACGGCTCTAAACTCAGACATTGATTTTGGTAACGTTCTTTGTCCATGAATCGAGAAAGAAAGTCAGGTTATAAGCGATGGTCGCGTGCAACAGAGCATTGTGGACCGAAGGACGTCAATGCCTCTCCAGAAGAAAGTCACAGTCCCTCAGTCGAATACCGATGAGAGTCCTTCTATCCATAGACCGAAATGATGCTCACCTCGCACACTACCGCAAGACTTCACTAATTTGTCGCTCGTGTTATACCCCTTCACTGTTCTCTTCTGCTAAGAAGCTGCAACAAGCATCAGACCATCTTTCTGCAACCCTATTGTTATTCGGAGGCTGAGCAAATCCATTTCCTTGGCTTCCTAATCTAGCTAGGACTATGAAGTGTTACAAAGAACTAACATCTAATTACAAGCTTTAGGCAATAGAGTTCTGGGTGTAGTTACCTTTAATTGCGGACGAGGAGGAGATTGGGGTCATCATTAACTAAGACGTAGACTACTCACTTCCAGACTTTATATTCTCGCTATCGTTACAATTTCTCCACATACGACCATACCCATTGGAAAACTCGGGATCCCGTCCGCTCTCCCATAGATAAGCCAATGAGGGCCGGATTAGTAGTTGGGTCGGTGACGACCAGCGAATACCTGGTGTTGTATGTTAGTCTTTTGAAGGTCTTCTCGCCCAGAGGAGCGTATTGCCTACTAGATCAGCAAGCGACACGGTGCCTAGCTGTGTTTCCTGCCACTGCGCCGCCATACATTCTGCTGTCCCACAGGTACTTTTAACCGCTTCCCAGCCCTGACGAAATCGTCCTTCTCTCACGCCCCCGCCTTCCTCCCTGGACACTGCAGCGTCGCCATCATTGCCAAGTCTTCCGACGCGCCCCGGTCTCTTCATCATGCTCAAAGTTCTGCACGGCGTGGCCAGGCTTGAAGAGGGGCCTGTTTGTTGGGCCTACGGGCTTTCTGCATCCCTTCTCTTTCCTCTCTCCAAACCTACTCGTTCTCTTCATCCTCTGAGCTCTTTGAAATAAACCCGATCGCCCTTCACTTTCACTCCCCCTACTTTGCCGTTTCACGTTTGATTTTGCTCATCTGCAATCGCACGCGCAGGCTTTTCGCTCCTGCATCGTCTTTGCTGTAGGGGTTCTTTCATTTGATCTCGAAGACGCCGTCGCCTACGATCCCCACCCCAAAAGCGCACGGGACAACTTGTATGAGATCTTCGTGGAGTTCTCTGTGTCCTATGAGGAATTCAACCTTCTCCCGGAAAACTTGGAGTCCAAACCACAGGTTTTAGGGAGATGCAGGCCGCCTAACAACATAACCCACTCCCGGATCACGTGAATTTAAACAATGAAGCACAATTACGGACGCGGTCGAGCTCTTGAAAAGCTCCTGGATGGTGCATACTCGATGCCAGTAACCCATTAGCAACATTCTCCATAGCTCCGTCAGGAAGAGATCTCTGAAATGTAGATCCTATTGATCAGATCTGTAATGATCCTTAGCCACGAGTGCGAATTCATTCTCACTTCCTCAGGAGGTGGTGCAGGTAACGATCTTCCGGTCCTGATAAACCCTATCGACGCTCTCAAACTCCGAAGATCTATTCCATGGTCTGGAGATTGTTAAGTACTTACCGAGAACGGACAAAATGTCGTATTGACGAAGCAAGACATCGCGTTCCCCAACACTGTCGCCTAAACACGGGTAATAACAGCGTACCTAAATGTACACTGGATGAACAAAACATTTGCATTCCGATTAGCAGTAAGGGTGTAACCAATATATATGACGTCCTCTTCAGTTATCATGTCAATTCGACATTGTCGAGTTGCTTGTATTTCGCTCAAGGCCTACCAGAGGGTCGAACCAAGTCCACCAACACTGATCCTCCCGCCGTTCCAGCCGCAAGAGTCAGTCTTCAAATTCAAGTTTCGCACAGATGAAAGTCACTTGGTGTGACAGGCAGCATGTCGTTTCCTGAGTCCTGCTAATATTTGATGGCGGGCGGGTTTAGAAAGTTGGTTAGTTCAATGAACTCGTCATTTCGGATTTTCCAAGATGGGTGGCACCAACACCTCAGCCTGATCATAGCTTGTCATAAATCAACTTCATTGGAGGCTCACCAAACGTGTCCTGGCCCCGCTATCCACTGATTTGTTACATCGTCCTTGATGATTGAGCACCGGTCTGCAGGGATAAGCCGACCAGGAATAAGTCAACCTAGATAATGCAGTAGTGTCTCATGGGGGAAATCTGCAATAGTAGTGTCGGAGGCAGGGCGAGCACAAGGCGATCAAAGGTCGCATCATGGACAGTTGACAGTAAGCGGCACTATGTAGTCTGCCTAGCGCACTCACGGGCAGAGGGAGTTCGTTCCTGGGCGTCGGCTTCCCGGTGCCGTGTAACTGATTGTCTCACTCGCGCTTAGCGATTAACTAATGCGCAAGGTCTACGCGATGCTTCTTCACCCGTCCACAAGATGTCGGCTTGCACTTCTCAACTTACTTGCGATCCATCTGCGGAAATACTACGTTGTTGCGACAGTCTCATTTGCCCCGGTTTCATGGCCGGTAATCCGAGTGCGTTCAAACTCAGTTCTCGTCTTCATAATCGCTGACTTAATCGCTTATGCAGTGCTAATTGGGCGTACTGTTGTGTATCTGCAGTTCAAGTGAGATGTGCAGATCGAGAAGTAACCAAAACCAGTTTCCCCCGCGTCCCTCACCGAGGAACGACTTGGCTAATTGCATGCGTGCTCGATAACCCTGCTATTACGTGTCTTGATACGATGGAGCCGCAGCTCTTCAGCGTATTACTCGAAAAATGGTGCAATCTTACTTGCCTTCGGATTGTTGATTTACATGCATTTGGCAGACTACAGATGAAGCGAGGTTCTGCGCACGGTATCTGCACAAAAGCTCGACGTGGACCAGGTTCGTCCAATCGTTTGGCCTCAGGCCGTTGCACAGGTCTCACCGGCTGCAAGTAGCTTGCGTTCAAGTATGGATGCGGGTCTGCCGCCGTTCTGCGAACCACCCAAGGCAGTGTGGAAGCTGCCCGCAGTGGACAGCCTTGTCAAACTTCCTGCCGACAGCCCCGCGTTCCGCTTTGTCGGGTCCAAGGCGAGCTTGGAGATGGGGAGTAGCTAGCCTCTCCACAGCCTCTACTGTCGAAGACTGGTGTGCATGTCGCAGGATACGCGGACAAAGCTGCATCGGTCTCCATTGCGGCCCCTAACACCATCTCGTTGCGTTATCACAAGACACTCTCCTCACAAAGTGCAATTTTTTTCCCTGCAAAAGCCATATCCGGGCAAGACAGCAAGAAATTTGATGATGTATAAAGGCATGGACAAGATGCAATCGACGTTGCTCCTCGGCGAAGCACATGGATCTGCCACTCTTAAGTTTTGCATCCTGTTCCTAGATTACGACAACAGCAAGTTACGATGGCGACTTGCGGAACCCACCATGTGAGATACCCTCGTCTGATCATGGGAAAAGGGACCGTTGATGTGTTAATGAGGATCAATAGGGACATCAGCTCCATCAATGCACTCGCCCGGTCTGCGGGACGAATTGCGCTCCGTTAGCATCCGGGTCATGTAACACTCAGCGCTTTGATAATATTGATAAAAGGCTGGCCGAGATAGCCGAAAGATCCGAGAAGCTCTTCAACATGATGCATGCGCAGGCATGCATCACCAGTCAATTCGACGACAAGTAGGTAGCCCCGCTTCAGTCGGTGCTTGTGGGTGAGTGTTTGCAATATACTGAGTAGTACGACAGGTTCAAGAAGGCCGATGAAACAGTAAACACCATTCAGAACGCTATACAAGAAGTCAGCACCACTTTAACGGATGACCATAATACCCTAGCAGCGATCCATGGCATGGTCGGTGAAACTAAGGTCATTTTGGCTGGAGTCAACAACACCGTGAACCAAACACAAGCTGCGATAGCAGCAATCCGCGACACAGTCATCAACACCCGAAACGACTTGGAAGCAGTCAACGACACTGTCAACAATATGCATGTTGCCCTGGCGGCGGTTAACGATACCGTCACTGCGTCCCAAGCTGCTGTGATGGTAAACAACAACGAAGTCATCAATGTTCGAGATCGCTTGACAGCAGTCACTCGCACGATCAATAATACTCAAGATATCGTGACAGCGGTCAACACCACGGCCGGTCAAACGCAAGCCGCTGTGACACTAATCAACAACACAGTTGACCAGATAAACGCTGACACGACATTGGTCGTCGACACAGTCAAAGGCATTCAGGATAACGTCACAGCAATTCGCCACACGGTCAATCACACCGAAGGTGCTATCGCAATAGCAAACAATACAGCCAACCAGATAAAAGCTGTCGTGACAGTGGTGAACACTACAACCAATCAGACACAAGCTGCATTGGCAACAGTCACTCGTCCTGTCAACAACATTGAGAATGTTGTGACTGAAACTAGGAACACGCTTAGGCAAACGCAACAAGCATTAGAAAAAGTGAACACCACAGTGGTCGGTACCAGTAATACATTAACAGTTGTTAAAGAAACTGTCAATAGGATGGCCCAGACCTCGACAGGCTTTAACGAGTTATTGACCAACGCCCACACTACGCTAGCGATTATTGGCCAAGGGGTTGCCCAAAGCAATGAAAAGGCATCGCAAAACCAGACTGAGTTAAGTGATACTTACAAGGCTATTCAAGAGCTTCAGCGAGAAGTTCGGGCAGGGTAACAAGGAAGGCTCCATGCCGTCAACGTTATGCTCCAACTGACATCTTACAGTCACTTCAACAACGCAGCACGCCTAGCCAATCGTTTTGCAAGTTGTTGTACGACTGCAATACACAGTTTTCACGGTACCAACGATCAACATATTGAAGGCTTTCCGAAATCACATGCTTCGTTCCATAAGTTATCAGGTAAGGGGACAACCCTGGAAAGGAGGCTGTCTGCTAAGTGGAATCGCAGAGAATCAACTGAGTGGGATAATGAAAAGTATGGGCCTTCCTTTGAGTGGATCATATATCAGCAAGAAAACTCGCTTGAAGACATATCTAGGACTAAGGGTGTGACTTGAAGCTTAGATAGGCTTTGATTGTTTTTGGAAAACTTTGACACGACTAGTGCCTGATTCGTGTTTCCAAATACTACCGTGAGGCAAATAAGTTATCCCTACCTGTTGATGATATTAAAAAACTCATTGAACTCACATGGGCAAGATGCGAATTCGTCTTGAAGCAGATGATGAACGCCTTCCTATTACTATTGTGGGATGTAAAGGTGGGCCTAGTCGCAAATTTTTCTACATGTGGCAGCTGCTATCGCATGCTGAAACTGATGGCCTGTAGAGTATCGTGTATCCCGCTTGCTTTGCTCCCGTTGTATTGAAAGCGTGCAGGGTGACGGGGACTCTAGCGGTGCGGTGCGGTGCGTGCACCACACCTTGCAAAGCAACACAGGATCCTTCACTAAAAGTCTGGCTAGGTCTGATTTGATCAGGGACGTAAGTCCTGATCAGGACGCCAGTAGGCTATTAAACGGCGTGACTGCTCCCAGAAGTCCTATATTACCACGATAAGGCTGTAAAATTGTCGCGAAAGACTCTTTGTAATTCGGTTGAAGATGCGTGGTTGTTGGTTGCTCGCTCGACTACGCTCTATCTAGTTTATGGTCCTGGCCAAGACGCTTATCCAATCACAAAACACAGGAAAGGAAAATGAAATTTCAAGCATCCCGGTATGGCCCTGATCACCCTCCCCCATTCCAGCATGCAGTACTCTTCATCTAACACTTTAGTAGGTAGCACAGAAGTGATAGCGGTTGGGTTCGGTGATTGGGGAAAATGGGCTATGTTTCCTAACTGCCTATTCAACGCATCAGGACTTTTTCATAACCCAGCTTCCCCCTTTTTTTCTTTTTCCCCATGTATATCTCCTTCTCTGAAATTCAGTTTCCTGAAATCCTCACAACTAACAGAGTAATATCTGTTAAGCTTTCGTACAACCAATATGCGGGTCCGATGTGCAAGCGTCGGCGTGTCCGTCACGAAGGAATCTCTGGCAAGCCTCTAGCAAGTGAGAACGGCACCGTTGGCCTGGCAGCCAGGGACAATGTATGCCCACTGTCTTGTTGTTAGCAGGAATAAAGAACCACAGATACACTTTTTAGGTAGATTTACGTTTTCAAATCCGCCATCACCGCAGTGGGTGAAAGTAGATTCTTTGCCAAAAACGACCACGTCAAAGCTATTGAATATCAAGGTCAGTTTATAATGCTTGCTGTACTTGGATAAATATTGCTTGGGAGGGTTATATTACCTGACGTTACTTCCAACCTTGGCATCGTAGCTGACGCTTGTAACATATTGGGCCGGGTTTCCAGTAATCGAGTATCCCACATTACAAACCACGACACTAAGTCCAGCGTTCTGTTGGGAAACAGCGGCAGCTACCCGTTGGGTGAGTACTCTACGATTCTAGAGAAAAATCAGCAAGGGTGTTGTTTTATGGGGACAGGGGAATGCACCGCAACGGACATGGCCATACTTAGTTTTTAAAATTTCAACGCGGCAAGTCCGCAAACAGACCAACAACATCGCTCCTTTTCGAAGCCTTGTCCTTTGAAAAAGTGGCAAAGGAATATTGGCTGGCCGTCAAGCATTTTAGGTGTTTCTTCCTGGAGGTGAGTGAATGTCCGGTAACCCTCGTCGTTAATGAGTGTCATCTTCACATTACGAGACATCGTCAGGTTCCGTTGTTTGCCTCACACCGCACATCTCATTTTGTCCGTAATGTTATCCTTCCCAGTAGAGGACAAATCCCTGGTATAGAGCACCATGGTCCACGGTACGGTGAGCTCCTGCAATGTTCCGCATCAAGAAAACTGTCGATTGCACTTGAGCTTGAATTTGGGGACTTAAAATCGTTCACGACCTTTGTCACAGTGTCGCAAAGATGGTCTATCCGGTAGCTTCCTAGGCGACGTGCGCCACGACCAGTGGCGTGGCTATCTGCCAACTTCGCCACCTTCCTATATGAGCTCTCTATCTTGTAACAGGCGCCCACCTCTAGAGCCGCCCTAGCGCTGCAACTGTCCCGCAGAAAATACAAGCAACCTTCAACCCAATGTCTCCGGGACATATGCATAAGCCTCAAAAACGAATCTCAGGAAATTGCAGCGTTGTGATACTAACGGTACATTGAGTGAATCATTTTTGATGCGTTGCTGGATTCAAGTGACAACATCTATCTTGGTGCAGCTTAATTTGTGGTTAAGTGATCCTACCAGGGATGCGAGATCACTAGCCTGCTATTGATACTTGAATGTAGCTTCTCACGCGCATCCTGAACCAGCAAGCTTTCCACAATGGAAAGCTGAGTTGAAGAGGCTTGCCACGACAAGTGATGCAAGTTCCTCAAGCGCTCACCCACGGGCGTGTCCAGCTCATGCAGTAACTACTGCCGATTGGTCGAGTCCTGGTCCTCCACGAAACATCATATGATAGGTCCCCCAGCGATCACCCAGACAAGGGCGTGGAATAAAAACGTGATTCTACCGCGCGCGGCAAGTGAGCGATTCGGGGCTGTGTTCATGCAGCCTGATTGACGCATGTCACCAGGTCAGCCCGATAGGCAGAAGCTTTCCGCCGCAAATCTGCCTTCCACCCGAACTCGTCTTTTCGTAGAGTTTTCGTCTGGTTCAACTCCGATTCAACATCCTCGCACATCAGCTCCATGACCTCGCGGCCGCGAAACGCTTGCGCTCTCAACCAAAGATTTCGATCAGACGCCATTCGCGTGTAAACCTACCGGACACAGTGGCCTAGAGAGCCGACAATGGGATATCCCCTCTGAAACCCCGCCCGCAGCCTGATCAAGATGTCCAGCTCCTACTACCATGATGAACAAGTTGGATTCAACCCGCACTACGCGAGGGCACCGAGCCATATTCGAGGAAAAAGAAATTCGGACGAGACAAGCGAAGACGACGAATTTATAAGCCCTCCTTCGAAACAACCAAGATGGGAAAGCCCGGATCACAATCCACCCAGTCACGCCTCGGTCAAGCTGTCACACGATGCCTACACAGTGGGCTGGGTGTGCGCTCTTCCTCTCGAGATGGCTGCAGCAGAAGCCATGCTTGACGAGAAACATCCGGCTCTCGATATGAACCCAAACGATAGCAACAAATACACTTTCGGTCGCATAGGTTCTCACAATGTTGTCATTGCGTGCTTGCCCTCGGGGCAATACGGCACGAATAGCGCCGCGATAGTTGCGAACAACATGCGCTGGAGCTTTCCTTTGATACATATCGGGTTAATGGTCGGCATTGGTGGCGGTGTTCCTGGCAAGGTTGACGTACGCCTCGGCGATGTCGTGGTCAGTAATCCGACAGCAGACTCCTCTGGTGTGGTGCAGTATGATTTTGGCAAAGCTGTCCGTGACGGCCGGTTCGAGCGGATTGGTACTTTGAATAAACCCCCACAGTCGGTCCTGGCGGCGGTCTCAAAGCTCCGCGCCAATCATGAGCAACGGCGGAACCAAATTCCAGCTATTCTGGCCGACATGGAGATGCGGAATCCTTACATGTCCAGATACTCACACCGAAGCGTGGACGAAGATCGGTTGTTTGAGGCGACATACGACCATGATACTGGAGACACCTGCGATGGCTGCGATTTGTCCAAGTTGGTCGAACGTCGTCCACGGCCAATGCATTTTCCACAAGTTCATTATGGAATCATTGCCTCTGGAAACCAGGTCATGAAACATGCGAAAACGAGAGACCGCATAGCTGAAGAGCTAGATGTTGTTTGCTTTGAAATGGAGGCAGCCGGCTTGATGGACAGCTTTCCGTGTCTGGTTGTGCGCGGTATTTGCGACTACTCGGATAGTCACAAAGCAAAGCTATGGCAAAGATACGCAGCTGCAACGGCAGCTGCTTATACGAAGGAGCTTCTCTCAATCATCACACCGCACAGAAACTACAACCTTGCAGCGCAGCCTGCGGTGCTCGGCACTGGTGAGTAAACCAACTTGACCTTCCAATGGCTCATTACTTACCTAGTTACCTAGATTCAGTTCAAACGACACCATCAGACCATAGGAAGAGGCTACTAGAGCTACTCAAGTTTGAACAAATCGACAAGCGACAAGCGAACATCAAAGCAGCTCACGCGAAGACTTGCGAATGGCTGGTTGAGCATCCAGACTATACTGCTTGGATCGATCGCCAGAGGTACTCTCAGCACCACGGCTTTCTTTGGATCCGGGGAAAACCTGGAGCCGGTAAATCAACCCTAATGAAGTTCGCGTTCCTTCGGGCAAAGAGAAGAAGTTCGTCACAAGGACCCTCGATATCCTTCTTTTTCAACGCAAGAGGTCAGGAACTTGAAAAAACGACGTTGGGGATGTATCGATCCCTTCTGCATCAGCTCCTAGACAAGATGCATGATCTGCAGACATTGCTCGACGACACGGACCTCACAAATGTGACGCAGACGCATTCCGACATATGGGACCTCGAGCTACTGAGGACTATCTTCCGTAAGGCAATCAGGAAACTCGGCCAACGACAGCTGACATGCTTCATTGACGCTCTTGACGAGTGTCGTGAGATTGAGGTCTGGGAGATGCTCAAGTTCTTTGAAGATCTGGGACAGTACGCAGTCCAAAACGACATCCGTTTTTACGTATGCTTTTCTAGCCGACATTATCCCTACGTCGATATTCGCCATGGCCAAAAGCTTATTTTGGAAGACCAGATTGGACATGGGAAAGACATGGCCGATTACGTGCGCAGTGAGCTCCAGGCTGGCTCAGGGCCAAAAAGTGATCAGGTCATAGCTGAGGTTCTTCGAAAAGCTTCTGGCGTCTTTATGTGGGTCGTGTTAGTTGTCGACATCCTCAATACGGAGTACCGTAAAGGCCGCCTTTTCGCGGTGGAAAAACGACTGGGTGATATACCTTCGGAGCTTAGCAAGCTGTTCCAAGATATTCTGACCAGAGACCAACAGAACATGGATGACTTACTGCTCTGCATCCAGTGGTTGCTGTATAGTCAAAGACCGCTCACGCGGGAGGAGTACTACTTCGCTTTAGCGTCTGGTCTGGAGCCCGACACTCTGGGAGAATGGGATCCTAATGACATTACCTATGAGTTTATGGACCGCTTAATTGTCAGTTCATCCAAGGGGCTTGCCGAGACAACGAGGTCAGATGATAAGACGGTCCAATTCATCCACGAATCAGTGCGGGATTTCCTTCTCAAGGACAATGGTCTGCGCGAGCTTTGGCCGGAGATGGGTGACGACTTCGAAGGTCAAAGCCATGACAGGTTGAAGAACTGCTGTTATGTATACTCGACGGAGGTCAACATATCGGCCTATCTACCCGAGAACGAGTTTCTGTTGAAGACGTCCAAGACAGGTGCTGCAGAGTTCAGAGATACTGTAGCGGAGCGGTTTCCGTTTCTGGAGTACGCAACATGCCATATTATCTTTCATGCCGACGCCGCGGCGATACATGCGATTCCACAAGACGACTTCTTTAAGGGTTTCGTAGTGGACCACTGGATACAAAGGAACAATTTGTTTGAGAAAGTCAAAACTCGCAGGCACAAGCCTACCTCTACAAGCCTTTTGTACATTGCCGCGGCGAAAGGACTTACTAGGCTGGTCGAGATGATTCTTCGTCAAACCCCGAATGCCGATATAGTTGGAGGGCGTTACAAATACCCACTCCTTGCAGCCATGAACCAGGGCCATGAGGATGTAGCTAACCTACTATTGGATTGTATTGCCCATAAGTCACAGCAATATGCAGTTGATCCGAATAGTGGCCCAAAATCGAAATGTGACGGTTACGCTAGTCCGAGTCTCGACTGCAAAGATAAGGAAGACCGTACACCACTCTATTTTGCCGCACAACGAGGACAAATCAGCATCGCACAAAGACTGTTACATCTGGGCGCGAATCCGGGTTTTCACACGAACGATGCTCATGCAAGCCCGCTTGTCCGAGCCGTAGAGAAGGACGACGAGGAATTCGTGAGGCTCATTCTTCATGAACGGTCCAAATTCCAACCAGGTCCCAAGCCTGTTGGCAATGCATCAGCTACGGCACCGTCAAATGCAGAGTATCGCGGGGAGACAAGGCTTTTGCAGTTGAATGCACAGGCTGCGCCGGAAGCAAGAAATGATAGCCAGACGCCGGAACCTGCAAGCAAGACATGCGAGAGAGACGTTTCTTACGCCCTTCTGTCTGTTGCCAGAATTGGAAATGTACATATTGCAAGACTTCTGCTTCAGATGGGCGCCGACGTAAACTATCGGCCTGGCAACGATAGTAACGCACCCTTGCACATTGCTTCTGAGTGTGGCAAAGAAGCCGTGGCAAAACTACTGCTGAATGCAGGAGCAGACCCAAATCGGCAGGGGGAGCGGAGAGGAACACCTCTCCACAGTGCTTGCGAGGGTGGGAAGGCAGAAATCGCAAAGCTGCTGGTCGAGGAAGGTGCCAATGTCGAAGCTGTCGATTGGGATGACGAGACACCCCTCCATTGTGCCTGCCGAAATGAATTTCTGGCAGTTGTAGTGGAGCTACTCAAAGCAGGCGCGAACCCCAACGCAGTCAGTAAGATAGGTGATACGCCCCTTCACTGGGCCGGCAACAGTGACAACTTAGAAATCGCCAGTCTTTTGATTGAACGAGGCGCCAACATCGAAGCGGCTAACAACAATGGCGAAACTCTGATTTTCTACGCTGTACAGCATGGGTGGTCTAATTTTTTTGATACCCTGCTCCGTCATGGGGCCAACATCGAAGCGGCTAATAATAAGGGCGAAACCCTGATTTTTTATGCTGTACAGCGTGGGAGGTCTGATTATTTAGATACCCTGCTCCGTCACGGGGCCAACATCGAAGCAGCCAACAACAATGGCGAAACTCCGATTTTTTATGCTGCACTGCATAGGTGGTCTGATTGTTTAGATACCCTGCTTTGTCACGGGGCCAATATTAAAGCAGCTAACAACAAGGGCGAAACTCCGATTTTCTATGCTGTACAGCATGGGTGGTCTAATTGTTTAGATACCCTGCTCCGTCACAGGGCCAACATCGAAGCAGCCAACAACAATGGCGAAACTCCGATTTTCTACGCTGCACAGCGTGGGTCGTATGGTTGTTTGAATACCCTGCTCCGTCACGGGGCCAACACAAACCACAAAGATAAAAGCGGACGGAAAGTTGAGATCGAAAACGCCGGCGGTCATTCCTAGATATTGTCAGACAGGCAACTCGATACGAGAATTCCCGATTACAGCTGCCAACCCGTTCTTTTGGGAGTGCATTTACGGGAGTACTTCAACTCGAAGATTGCAAAGTTACTAATCGAAACCGTCGTATATGTCACCCAAAGAAACAACAGGAGCGAAATCCATTTTCAATGTGATGTCTCCTGGCAGTTGAATGGCTGACGAATATCTCGACCTCGTTCATCGGGTGTTTGAACAAGGCTTTCACACTGACGCTTGGCACCCCACTAGTCGAACACCGCTTCTAGACACAGTCAGGCACTCAATAAGAAATCGACTCCTTTCTGGTTCAACATATAGCCAGCCTTGAAGCAGCCGAATGCCAAGGTTGGACGTGACTTTATGGTTCATGTGCGGCGGGATCATCCATCGCTCCAAGACCTCGCGATCCGGACGGATGGGCGCGGTGCGGGTCGAAGAGTCGGCAGAGCAATTCCTCCAGATCAATGCAAGATCAGAAGCCTCGCGGGCTTAAACCTGCCTCGATCAAATGCTTGTTTTTGTGTGCATGCACGTTTCAAGATCAGTCCCTCACCAACCTTGTCCACAACGACACACGCAAACTATGTCGTGACGCACACAGCCCGAACTAAGTTGAGGAAAAGGTTTTGCGCAAGCTTCTATATTCAGCACAGTTTCATCTGTTTGTCAGGGTCGCCCTCTCGTTGACGTAGGAACCTTTGTCTGTGCCCGTCTTGTCACGTCCTTGCCGTCACTCTGAAAGATGGGACCGTGCCTCTTATAACCAACTGCCATCCCGCGCCTCCCTGTCACGGACGACTTTTCATTTCATCGACAAAAAGACAATGGACGCCAAGGATTACCGGACCTACCCGCGCAACGCCGTCAGCTTGGAGTCCCTGCGTCCGGTCGAGCGGGGCTCCGAGACCGTCGCCAAGCAGGACGTCCCGGTCAACGCGTCGGCATCGGCACCGCCCACCATCGCCAACATGCTGATGGACGAGGGGGACACGCAGGAAGAGTCGGAGCCGACGGACGTGAGAGATGCAAAGCTGATGAGGCGGGCGCGGTGGGCCCTCTTCGTCATGGCCTTCTTCATGGGCGACGTAGAGGACGGACTGGGGCCCTTCCTCGGCGTGTACCTCCAGAAACACGGATGGGCCCCCGGGCTGCGCGGCACCGTGACCACGGTAGGCGGCGTGGCCTCCATCATTGCGACGGGGCCGATAGGCGCGTTCATAGACGCTACAGAGTAAGTGCCCGGACCGTCCTGATACCTGTCGTTCTCATGTGTTATCTCGAGGAAACTGATACCATAACTCCCCAGCCACAAGCGCCTTCTTGTCGCCGTCTTCGCCCTTCTCGTCGGCGCGTCCCAGGGGCTTAACCTCATCACCACTCACCCGGGGCTCGTCTTCACCACACAGATCGTTTCTGCAGTCGCGGGCACCAGCATGGTGCCCCTGCTCGTGGCGCTCACGCTGGGAGTCTGCACTCCCGACCGGGAAGGCGATGACGCCTACAACAGCAAGAACAAGCACAGCTTCCGGAACCTCAACGGGCGCAACCAGGCAGCCAACCACGCGGGCAACATGGTCAGCGCAGGCCTCGCGGGCCTGCTGGGCTCGCGCTTCGGGTTGCAGGCCGTCTTCTATCTGGTCATGGCCTTTTGCACGGCGACGACGGCGTCCGTCTTTCTATTGCCGGCGCGGGCAATCAATCACGCGGTCGCGAGGGGAAAGCCTGATGTCGATGATGGCATCAAAGACGTCGTTCTTCAGCAGGATACGCAGAAAACAGGAAAGACAGGGACGGATGAAGAAGCAGAAAGGGGCGGTGTTCCCCCCCGTGAGGCTCCAATCACCAGCTGGAGGACCAAGATGAAGAACAAGTTCTCAAACAGCGCACTCAGGATTCTTTTGAAAAACAGGCCTCTTGTCGTCGTCGCCATCACCATATTCCTGTTTCACCTCGGTAACGCTTCGATCCTCTTTGTTTACGGCCAGGCCCTCGTGGCCGCGGGCGAGGGCGATCCCGCCGGCACCACCGGCCTGACCGTCATCATCGCGCAGGGCACCATGATCGTCGTGTCGCTCCTGACGTCGTGGCTCGCCGGCCGCCGCGGCTACTGGTTTGCCATCCTCGTATCCTACGCCGCCTTGCCCATCCGCGCCGCCGTCGCAGGCCACGTCATCAAGAGCTGGGGCGTCTGGCCCGTCCAGATCCTCGACGGCATCGGCGCGGGAATCCAGAGCGTTGCCATCCCCGGGCTGCTGGCTGTCATGATGGCTGGCACCGGGCATGTCAACGTGACCTTTGGCATCGTCGGCGGCATGACCCGCCAGACGGGCGCCGCCATCTCCCACTCGCTGGGCGGCTGGATGGTGCAGGCCAAGGGGTACAGTTTCGCGCTCTATTTGTCGGGTGTCTTCCCCCTCGTGTCGTTGGCATTATGGACTGGGTTTTACAAGATGCTCCGGCCAGTCATGGATAGAAAACCTGGAAGTGAGTAGTGTTCATACCTAGAGTAACGAGTTGGTAGATAGAAAATAAGGGCCTTTGTTTTAGACATTACTGGATGTCGTAGCTGGAGCTCGTCTCCTGCCTGTGGCCGCATAATATGTTGCCTTGATCTTTGCTAAATCCTCCGATTGCTATCGTGAATGCTGGCGACGCGAGCCAGCAGCAGTAGTCTAAGCGATCTCTACTCTAGGCTCTGGTTTCAGGAACATCAAGTCATAGTACAACCGGATTTCAGACAAACATCTAGTTTCCCCCTTTGAATATTAAACATGCTTGGTTGTCCACACACCTATAGACTCAAGAGCACAGCTTCTCTTGTTGGTGTCGCAGGGATACCGTACAAATAAGGATTTGCTGCAAAGTCACGATATCGTGGACAGTGATCTACAAAAGTGATTTTGTAATTTTCTTAGTTGAAGAAGAGAAGTGAAGTTGGTGGTG